TCAGTGTTCTACTGAATGTCTAAAACAATAAGTCTTAAAAGAATGAACTTGTTATTTAAGAAAAACATCCTCTCTTGTGAAAAATATAACGTTAAAAGAATTTTTATCAATAAATTTGGTCTAAATTTTGTAGTGCGTCAAGAGAACAGTAAATTCGTTTTGTCAGTGCATTAGCGATGATAAACGCAGTCATCTCGCTGTATTGTGCTGGAAAGAGGAAGTGGGTTGGGGGTGGTAGTTTTTTTGACATTCAAATACCGTCAGATTTAGTCTTAAAGAATCATAGAACATATAAATCAAAATCAATCTTCTCTAGCTGATTTTCTTCAAATCAATATTGTCTCATAAATCATGAAATGATAACAGATGAAATATAGAAATTTGTTTTTAAAATATCGATTATTCTTTTGCCATGGTTTCGACTCATCATGAAATTGCAGAGAGAAAAATGTCTTGAATGAAAAATACTCATCGAATATGGAGAGTCAAATGTATCTACTTTTCTAAGCGATGATAAAAAGGAAGTTAAATTAATTCTCCCTTTCATATATTCCGTTAACTTCCGAGTTTGTCTGTTTTCACCCAAAATTTTCTGCGAAACCAAAACATCGACCAGAAAACACGTGTTCGATCTATAATAGCCTCGGCAGATCGAGTTTGTTCATAGGAAAGTCATTCATGGCGTCAAACACGTTCAGAAATAGCTACACTGTTAGCTGTATACAACTATTTCCCAAGAGCAATGGTGAAAAAAGGCTTTGAGCGAATGAATCCGAAGATCATCCAACTATGAACATTCCGAATTGGCGGTACAGAATCACAAACAAAGAATTTTACCAAATACCAGAAACTATAATACTAAAGGATTACCAACAGTAGCAACAGTTAAAATGGGTTTCACATTGTTGTAGCATCCCTACGAAATATAATGGGTAGGTCCTCATTCATATAATTACTGTAGTAAATACAGTATATTGGTCGGCAGTTGGGGATTCGTTTTCAGCTGTGATTACGGGGAATTTCTAGCCTTGTACCACATCCGACCGCGTGATGTGGTTGGCAGATATCCTGCAGTTGGAGATTCGTCTCCAGCTATGCTGGTCAAACTCTGTGCCTCCGGACAGAAAAGATACCCAGACGAGGCTATGTTGAAAAGAGATTTTTTTTCAGGAAACAGCTTATGACCCTGTTTTATATTTAAACAAGGAATTTTTTGCTGAGCCTATGGGCTAGGATAATTGCATTAAATTCGGCCTTTTTTTTTATACATCTGACCGCGTGGGGCGGTTTATAGATATCCTGTAGTTACGATTCGTTTTAATTCACTTGACTCACATCTAGTAGTTGACCACTTTTATACGCGATAGTTATTTGGAGAAATCTTATATGTATTGTTCTTGACCTAAGTATTATCTTTCATTACCAACCTTCATTTGATTATTCTATTCAGTAACCTACCTTAGGTTACAATACACACGTAACTCGAAGAGAAAATAATGACATAATCAAGATGTTAACATTCCATAACATTTCAAATAAGGTTAGGCAGAAATCCCCCATCAGTTCTGGAAAGAGAGATAACAACTACTGGACTTGAGAAACCGTCTTTCTTAAATAAGTGTTTTAAGAGAAAGATTTTATAAATTTTAACCGAATGCAGTAATGGCTGCTCGGTCAATGAATGTCAAATATTTCCTTATAGGGAAACGGCTAATATTACCATTACCATTACAAGGATGTAGCTTAAAGTAATTCTGTAAAGTGTAATAAATGACATTGGAGGTTTTTGAAAGTGTTTTCTATGGATGTTTTTTTCTTTGGGTAAATACTGGGGGCTGCACATTCATAGTGCTCCTCAATAGAATCCTATAATTATTTTTGGAATTTATGGTATGTGGTCCTCTCAAAAATATTTTATCAGAAACTTCTTTTTACTCCGGGTACATGGATGATTCTCTGCTAATATATACACAAGACATAATTTTACCTGATCCTGTCAACACAAGTTTATAACGTCGAACCCATAAAAGATCATAATTTTAAAAACTGAGTCTAAAAACATTTTACGCTTCCTATGTATGCTGTATAGGAATAATAATGAACTTCAGTTTGAGGATCGCAGTAAAGCTACCAACAAGAATGTTCTGCTTAATTTGTATTCGCAACACTGAAAAAAGTTTAAATATGGAATAATTATAGGATTCTATTTAAGAGCACTATGAATCTGCCACCCTCAATACTTACCCAAAAAAGAAATATACATAGAAAACGCTTTCGAAAACCTTCCATATCATTATTATTTCATCCACAATGCTAAGAGAAACGCCTACACAATATACAACGCCAAAATGATAATTTTATTAACAATAACAATAAACTAGATAAAAACAGATACATAATACTACCTTCAAACTCCGTAACATCCACTATCCAAAACAATTTACCCTATCTCAGCAACACCAAAATAATTACAACTACATCCAAAATTATTATGGATATGACAAAAACAAATTCTAAACAAATAGCTAGAGCTGTTCCTCACAATATATTGGGGAAACTTGCAGAAAATAAAACAAAAACTTATCTGTGAACACAAAAGAGATCATATACACAGCACTTTACCAAATATATTAGTTAGAAATAGAAATAAATTCAACCACAACGTGGATCTAAAGAATGCCACACTTATTAAAAGAGTAACTTCGATGGAAAATTCTCGAGAATGTTGCTATTGAATCTTATCAAAATATTAATCTGCGACCCGGATGTTTTCAAATATCGCTCTTCCTAAAACAGACATGATTATAAAAATGTTAAAAAAATTAAAAGAAAAGGGTTTAATTCATAATCTCATATTAATTAAAATTAACACATAAATTAACCCTAAAATAGTTTAAATATTTATTTGCATAAGAATTTCATCTTTTACTGACATTTTTTTTATTAGACACTAGATTATATCACTTGGCGACTACCATAAGTTACTTAACCATTTCGGCTAACCTGATGGAAATTTATAAGCGTGTCAGAAATTTAAAATTTTGAAAAAAAAACTAACAATATTTGTGCTATTGTACATAAATACTGTTTTTCAAAGTAAAATCTTTACATTTATCTTTATAAAGTCGTCCAAAGGATTAAACGACTTTCCAGCTAAGATAAATTATCCATATATATATATATATATATATATATATATATATATATATATATATATATATATACGTGATATGCAATTTTAAAAAGCATATATTTGAACTAAGTAGCTAAGTGGTTTTGGTTACTCTAACCAAGTAGAATATGGTGATTTTAAAGTAATCGACAGGTATTTGCGTCATAGTCGCAGGTAAGAAGTGTTCTGTTGGCGTAGTCTTAGATTATGCTCTCAAACTAATCATCTTGACTCTTTCCTACACATCATTCGGTTTTATTGGCGGACACCAGCCAATCATATTCCAGTGAGGGGGAACACAGGTGTATGCATATTCCATTATATCAGTATGTATAAAGAAATTATGCATTTTTATTTATTAATCCAACAGATTTTATTAATGAAACGTTATTTTAGTGGATACCCGTATTTGAGTAGACGCCCTTTTTATTTATTAAAAATTATATTTATTTATTTTCGTCTGACGGCCTGAATATTCGAGAAATCTTATTACAGACAAATTTGCGCTCTTAAAATAGGGTTCGTCAACCTGCGTCAACCTTGGGCAGAAAATCCAAATTTGATCGGATGTGCTTTAAAGATACTAAAAAAAATTTAGATAAAACCGATCCACTTCTATTGAAAGTTGAAAAAGAACGACAGGTATAATTTGTATCTGATATACATAAAACAGACAAACAAGCCTACAGGCGGACAGATATTCTCACGAGCCTCAAGATAATTCTATCAAATTAATTAAATTATCTAATTTCATTTGATCTGGGATTAATAATTATCCTTGGAGATCCCAGTTTTGTCTTTCATTCTAAACTGAGGAAGCCAAAGCGAGCAGACGCTCAGGCTAAACGCATCGTTAATATATCATATTTTTTTGGATAATATTATAATGATTAAAAAAGCACACACACACACAAACACACACACACACAAACACACACACACATAAATATATATATATATATATATATATATATATATATATATATATATATATATTTATTCATTTAACATTTTAGGCATTTAAAACAACATGCCTGCCCGCACACACAATTCCGTAAAATACTTGTCGAAAAACACAATTATACTTCGACATGAAAAAAATAGAAAAAAAACTAAAAATACTTGAAGCATTATACATCAAACAGTTGAAACCTAACCTAAAAAAATCAATTATGGCATCTCTACAAATATTCTTAAATGTCTATAATTGGTAACAGAAGCCATTGGTTTATAAATGTCTATAATTGGTAACAGAAGCCAACGGCTTCTCGCGTGGTCATACTTGTGATGTCATGAGATGCTGTGTGATTCATATGTGATGTCATAAAATGCGGCGTGTTTATCGTTGCTTAGAAATCATCTATGTAAACAATGACAGACTATCATCACTGTCTTGTCCGTATATTGTTTAATATGTTTGTAATTGACATCTTTGATAATGGCTTATGTAAGCCGAAAGCTTAGATTGTATTAAAAAAAATATGGATCAATATTGTGAATTTCTTTCTTCGTTCAACGATAATGTTATTAAACTTATCAGACGTTACGAAAAAAATTTACATAAAATAAATAGACAACACTTGTCTATATATTATTTAATGAAACGTGTATGAATATATATATATATATATATATATATATATATATATATATATATATATATATAAAATCTAGTGTCACTGACAAAACTTTTGGCCGTGCGTCTCGAAGAGGACCTCCAATCGAAACCATGAATTGGGGCAAAAAATTGGCTGGTCAACTTCAATTTTTTAAAAAAAAACTGCTCTCTATTAATCACCACAGAGATCCTTCCCTGCCCTCCATTAGAATGTCTGACGCTCAACTGCTCGATAGCACCTCTCTGCGGCTGCTCGGTCTCACGTTGACTACTGACCTGAAATGGAACAAATACATTGAGTCAATTGCTTCGTCCACCGCAAGGAAAGTTGGCTCCCTGAGCCGCACCAGGAAATTTTTCTCCCCGGAATCGATCCTCCAGATCTACAAATCCACAATTCGCCCTTGCATGGAGTATTGCTGCCATATATGGTCTGGTGCCCCTTCTGTTTGCGTCGGGGTTCTTGATAGGCTCCAGAGGCGGATATGCAAGGTAGTTGGTCATGCTCTGGCATCTCGTCTACGGTCACTTTCTCACAGACGCGCCGTCGCCTCCCTCTGTCTGTTTTACAAATACTTTCATGGAAATTGCTCCGAGGAGCTGCATTGGCTGGTTCCCAGACGTCATGAGTTTAAGCGCCCTACGAGGCTGGCATCCCGCTCTCACCCCTTCACTGTCAAAACTCCTAAATGTAGCCGTCTCTTCTACTCCAATAGCTTCATGTCTCGCACCTCTCGCCTATGGAACTCCCTTCCCTATTCCAGTTTCCCTGAGAGCTATAATCGCCAGCTATTCAAGTGTAATGTCAATAGACACCTCCAGTTGACTTGATCTATCCACTACCCTTCTCCTCATCCTTTCTTCTATGACTCCTATCTGATCTTGCTCCAAATTTTCTGTAACCCCTTGCGTCCTAGTGGCTTCCCGCCTTGCTTGGGGTGACTTTTAAAAAAATAAAATATATATATATATATATATATATATAGATAAATATTTAATATTTAATGTGTGTGTGTGTTTGTGTGTGTGTGTGAAACAAATAATATGACGATTTTTTCAAATTTTTTCGAATTTGCACCAAACAAAACTTTAATATTCCAAAAAAAAGATTTTTTATTTTCCAATTCCCATCGATAGTAAAAATAATCGATTATTTCATGCTTCTACGGCAGTTTTCATATGTTTGAGGCCATCTTCTACATCAAAGAATTTAGGCTAACTAATAGCTGGCAAATTTCAAAATAAATGACTAAGGAAATATTCTTTTGGCATTTTATTTTTTTGAAAGTATTTGTTATTGAAAACATGAAATTATTAACTAGCATGAATAGCAGGCAAAAAAAAAATCGATAGCTGCAAATATATCAAATTTATAAAAAAAAAATCTGCAATGGCACTTTACTCCAATTGGCTCAAATTGCTTAAACTCAACGTTGATTCGAAATTTAATCCAGAATTGGGTTATTAATTAATTTTTAACCTTTTGTTTAAAATTTAATTTTTTTCAACTGAAATTTTTTAAAATTTACGAGTCTTTTTTAAAGCTGATCGTTTTAAATGTTCATTTTGTTTTTTTGGTTTTTCGTAACAGATTTAAAATTTAGTATAGAGCTTAGAAAAAAATTTAATATATTTTGAGATAGGCAAGAAGTAAAAAATGTAAAAACATCAGGAAAGCAAAGGGCAACCGTTGAAATTCCAAAAGGAAGGGCAAAAATATTTTAAGTCAATATTTAGTGAAATCTGTATAAATTTTTTACGATTTTTGAATTATAATTTAGCCGGGCCATGCTGCTATTTTCAAATATATATATATATATATATATATATATATATATATATATATGAAAAAACAAATTTTATAAATGAAATGGAAATTGTTTTGACAATTTTTATATTTATTTTTTTTTTATATTTATACATTTTTTTTTTTAGATAGAAAATATTTAAGAAAATTGCTCTGTTTATAATAAACAGTGAAAATTTAAATTTAGAACCGGCCTGAATGTCATGAAAATTTCGGATGACGAATTTATGCTTTTTTTGAAAAAAATTTCTCGAACATTTAGGCCGGTAATGTTGTTTAATACTGTTTATTAAAAACAGAACATTTTTATAGATCTTATCTATAAAAGAATGATAAACATAAAATATTTTAAAATAAATTTCGGACTAAAATCCATTTAATATAATCATTAAAATGACGCCATTTGTTTTACATTTGATACGCCATGAGCAGATATGAAAATACGTGAGAGATTCATTGAAGATTGAATTTTAAAAACAGTAAATTCAAATTTTTTAAAATGAATGCGCCTCTATAGCCAAATCGGTAAAGGCACTTAAAAAAAAGACGGTTCCGTATAGGATACAGGTTGGAATCCTGTCGAAGGACGAATATTTTCTGTGAAAATTTCTCGGACAATCAGGACGGTACATGTTGTTTATTATAAACAGAGCATTTACTTAAATATCTATAAAAAATAATGTATAAATATAAAAATGTCTTTATATGTATAATATTATATATGCACGGTGCTTATTGGAAAGCGTTCAATATCAGTGATAGAGCTAACATATTCAGTCATATGGATATGGGTTTGTAACCTTCGGTTTCACGCCTTTGCGATCATCAGACAAATTTTTTTCCTTTTTTTATAATGTTTTCCGCAAATTTAGCTATATTTCAAGTTTGAAATATATTTCAGATAATACAAAAATACGTCTTAAGATGATTAACAGGTGATGATTTTTTAAGGACAAAGCTCATCGAGAAGTTACCTGGATCCATTTAAATTTGCTCAATTGCCTTTGTCGTTACTGCCTCGTTATTACACCAGGGTAAATCAATTAATTTTTATCTTCTTCCAACAAGAGACATTTTAATATGGTGCACATGAAAGCCTTCGTCTCTCAATGCGCAGAAAAAATGGCAATTACTGATATTTTTGAAAATCATTTAATGATATATACTGCATGGATAAAATTATTCTTAAACGTTGCATGTCAATAAAAATTGTAAAATCCATACAACATTCAAATTTCCAACTATATTTTGAAGTTTCTTTCGATTTCTTTATTTTTTTTTAATTATTTTCAAAATGTTTATATCATATTTTTTCACGATCTAATTTTTATGTAGGCAGAAATTCAAATTTTAATAAAAATAACAAACTTTTTTATAACATTTATGACTGAAAATTAAATTTAAAAAAATAAAAAAAAAAATTATTAAACACCCTAGTTAAACCTGGTCAATAATAAATATTTCGACAGTAAATATTGTAATTTTCTATTTTTTATGCTAGTGGTCACATCTAATGGATTTTGGAAATAAGGAATAATTAAAATTATCAAAATTGTCCAAAAATTTCTGAGATGAAATATTGTATTATTTAAATTATTTACATTATTCAGACTATTGTCCTCATCTTTATTAATTTATTTTTAAAAACAGAAATAAATTAACTTAATATCTCCGAAATTTCCAGGATCTGTCTAATATTTCTCAAATGATTTAACAAAAAACTATTTATTTGTTTAAGAGAAATTCGTTAAATTTAAATTCCTCATCTTTGTCATCAAATTCAGAACAAATGGCCCATTGTATAAAAAAATTTGGCTGAGTCATTTATCAGTAAAAATTTAAATTAATTAAAAGTTGTGAGTTCAATAAATGGCCACTATATAGAGAAATTAGATTTTATCCAAGATAGATAGATATTGAGATAGATAGAAACAGAGGGAGAGTTGAGTTATTAAAGATTAAATTTAATTGACTATTTTTTGAAAAAATATCTGATCCTTCATGGCAAGTGGAACTAAAAAACAGTCTATATTGAACTAAACAAAGGGTTCGGTTTGAAATTCCAACTTAATATCACCTGAAGAATAAAATAAGCGTATTAAACAAAAATAAACATATGAATATGGCAATAAAAATGAAGACAACAGTGAAAAGATGTAAAATAATTATATATAAAATTTAAATATATATCAGAAATATATGAAGATCCTGACGAAAAAAAAGCGAACAATGGCCAATAAAAAACGTCGTGAATATGGCAAAAAAGATGAAGACAATGCAGCAAAAAAAAAAGGATTTCAAAATAGTGTAAATAATTATTAGAATGTTTTATGTCTTATTTTCTTGCCAGGAATCATTTCTGAGACTGACAACTATTCTGTGATCGTCAATTTTCCGGCTGAATCGATCCATTTTTAACAAAAAATTAAAATTACTTTGTTCACGTAAACAAATTTTATAACAATAATATTTCTTAAGCATGAAATATAAAAAAAAACTCTTTTGATTTTTTTTATTTAACGTATTTCAACCAGAAATTTAGGATTACGGCCACATCACGTTGAAAAAAATGGGTTTATGATACGATTGAAAAATTAAAACAAAAAACCAGGACATAACTTTGATGGGTGATTTTTGGAAATACCAGCTTCTGTAAGCTTAGATATGCGGATGGTGTAATGGATAATGAGTCGGAATTGTTAATCAGAGAGCCGAGTTCCAATTCCACATTTGTTCCTTAAATTCACTTTCGCGCAAATATCCTTGTGGAAGGCATGGATACAACTCTTCTCTCCCAAGCTATGGACTAATTAGTAAGGCTTGTATCATTAAATCCTTATTATTTCTCCTACGAAAAATTACAATCTAAAAAAAATTCTGTCTTTAAATAACCTACCATGGGTTGATAAACCGTAAAAACGAATAAAAAATTAATTAGTAAAATCTATATTCAACTCTTTCAGCTTCTATTGGAATGCAATGTCAATCGTTATCTCCTGTCTTCTTAATCCATAATCTTTTGTTATCCTCTTTTATTAAGAGTTTATTTTCTTATATTCTCTAACACTCAGTAACCCATTGCGTCTTAGTGGCTTCATTGCTTTTGATATTAAAAAAATTCAACTGCAATGTCTATCGTTATATTCTGTCTTCTTAATTCTTATTCTTTTATTGATTTCTCTCCTTAACAGTATATTTTCTCGTATTCTCTAACGCTCAGTATCCATTTGCATCTTAGTGGCTTTATTGCCTTGCTTGTGGTGAAATGATAAAAAAATGAGACTGGAAAGCATAGAGACGCAAGAGATTTCAACAAGCGAGAAGTGCTAGAGCAGAAACTGTTAGCATAGAACTTACGGTTACATCTAACCAAGTCAACTGTGAACTGATGAGACCTTACAGCCAATCAAGTACTGCGCTTAAAGTCTCGGTACCTTAGCAAAGAATTCATCCGAACACTTACCGTGAAAGTGTTTGCAGAAAAATCACAGGGAAGTGTTTTATCCTAGGGAAGTTTACTGAATAGAATAACCAAACGAAGGTTGGTAACGAACGATAATACTGAGGATAAGAACAACACATATAAGATTCGTCAGCGGCGCGTAGAGTGAATTCCACAATGAATCTCCAAATGCAGGATATCTACCAACTGTCCTACGCGTCAGATGTGGCACAACGCCGAATTTAATGTGAGGTATCGGAGCCCGTAGTCTCGGACAAAAATTCCCCGTAGACCCGTTATATACGGGGTCGGGCAGCTGTTTCCCGAGACGAGATTCAGCCCTTCGACATAGACTCGTCTGGGGATCCTCCTTGCCCGGAGGTAGAGAGTTTGACCAGCACAGCTGGGGACGAATTTCCAACTGCAGTATATCTACCAATTACATAAATTTTTCTCAGATATCGCACAAGGCCGAATTCAAAGGGGTGTCCGAGTTTCGGGCTCGGACAAATGAAAAGAATAGA